TACTAGCAATATTTAGATACAATTTTAATAAGAAATCCATCATTTGATTACACATTATACAATAGACAAGGCACTAAAATGTACACCTACTATTCATTTTCATTATGGATTTTTTGGAGTCTCCTCTTTTGATGAAAAATAAATATTATGAACAGATCCTTCATCAAAAATGTCATCATGAAACCAAGATACATAAGGATCCTCTCATTCCTTAAATATTTATATATAAAGCATAAGGTTCTAGTTCTAGAGACCAAATAGGGCAATAATCCATATTTGGACATGATAGCAATTTTCCATATTTTCCATTATGCACTTTTGAAAAGAATTCTGTAGAGAGCAGAAACAGCTTTGGTACTAATTTGAAGAGGTCCTTTCTACAGGGATGCAAGGATATGTGAGGTGGTTTCTTAAGTTTTGAAGAGATACAATCTCAGAAAGGCTCTGTAGTATACATTTGCCAAATGGGTAGATCCAATGCAAGTTCGAATCACCGGGATGAAGTAGATAGCTTGACTGGTAGTGTCAACTTGTCCTCAAATTTGGAACAAAATTGCTAAATCTGAAAGGATTTGATTCAAGCCAGTCAATCTTTTCAGTACAGAACACCCAGGAAACAAATGATGGAATTGTCCTATTTGCCTCAATATTGTAGCCACACAAACTACTTGGTCAAATGTTAACCTCTAGAATGGTATGGGTCATTTTAAATCACATCTCAAATATGTGGTAAAATAGTTGTTTGTAATCCCAACCACAGATTCACATTGGCAAAGGGAGAACAAACAATGCTCACATTGCTGCCACTGTGTCAATAAGTCAAACTACAAATGTCCAATCATGGCCTACATGTTCTTAGGGACTTCTGCACGTGATCATACAAAATGCTAAATCATAAACTCTGATGTACAAACCACAATGGCTAAGCCAAACTGAACAAACCACATTTTAGCCTAGCATAGTATGTGCACCCACCATAAACTTACACAACCAGAACTTGGTTAGTATGGTGGCAGAAAAAGAGAGACTCAACAAATTGTTATTTGGATGTCTCATCTTCATGATATTGCTACTTCAAGGTTTTCTCTTTGCACATGCTAATATCTGACATTTTACAAACTCTAATCATATCTAGCGATAGAAACCAAGACATAACATGATCAGAACAATATGCTACATATTAAGGGACATTTACTAGAAACGGAATATAAAATGAATAAAGATCTGAACAACTGGTGACCCACTAAGCCAAACTCACTTCAAGAGTGCTAGTCACTGCATTCAGCTTGGTAGATCACAAGTGGTGCATTCCTGAGATGCAACTCTCATCTATAATGTTAAGTAGCCTGCTCTGCAATATGCAGAGGCTTGAACTGAAATTATGATTCAGAACAGCTATACAGATTAAATATCGTAGTGCAAAGAGCCATCTTAGAAGTTTAAAAAGACATACTGAATATTGAACAAATATCCACACAACTTCACCTTCATGAATGAAACTAGATAAAATAGATTGATCCAGATGTCATTCTGCTAAGATATTTAGCAAATTTCCAATGGAATCACAAAAAGAAAAATCGTTAAATTCAAACAGACTCATTCAAAAATCAAAATTACAAATTACATTTCATCCCTTGTATTAAACAGTGGTTGACATAACCTTTGAAAAGTCTCAATTTGCTCAATCCCCTGAGTGTGCTTAAGGTAGCTCTTTGGATTTTGGTTTTATCATACTAGTTTCAGATATGGTAGAATTAGATCATTATGTGCCTTACTTTCTCTTTTATTTTCAGGCCACTTGTCTTAATATTGATGATTCTTTGGGTCTTTCCCCCATTTATTTGGTTTTTTAAAATAATTCCCTTATATTTGTTTAGTTTGGTTTATTTAAAAATAGCAAATTAAAAAAATAATTTTAAAATAGTCCACAATCCCATTCAATAAGAACAGTCTACAGACAGCCTTGAAGAGATTTTCCCCCAATATTCAACCATTACAAATGAATAAAGAAATACAAGTTTAGAACAAACTAAGATTCAAAGACAAAATTAATATTTTTATCATATTAGCAGCTGGACTAGGCAACAAGAAATGCTACTGAACTGACTGGAAAATCACACATTTCTGGAAATATAGAAATAATTAAATGACACTCATTTGTTGTGTAAAACTTGGATTTCATTAACTGTCAGTTTAATTTAACAGTCTGCTTTTTTGTAGGCAAGTGCAAACTTGGAATATGTAAAAATTCATTTCTTCTTGTTTATAATACCAGAAATATTTATTGGGTCTTTGTATACTGCATATTCAAGAAGCAAAGTGACAAAATGTAAGACATAATCCAATACAGTCACTGTAGCTGCAAATATAACTTTAATGTATGTGTTGAATGCATAGTGAAATCTCTAATCCAGAATTTTCTGCTACCAGTGGTCAGGTGCTCTGCATGGCACAATGTCCCATGATTAGAAAAATGAAATAAATGTATACTATGGAAATAACATGAACACTGGTTATTCATATCAGTAACAAGCTTTAGATTTACTTGGTGGAAAATTTGAACTATGCTTTGCACTGATTCTTTTGAAAACAGATTTGAATTAAGAAATAAAGTTATTTGCTTTAAAGTCTTCAAGACTTTTTGCCTCCTAGTCTATCCAAACCCAAAAAAGACAAAGAAATTCTTAAATGTTTTGGTCTTGCCCACTCTGGTATTTTTGAACCATTCCTATAAAGGAATTTTAGACAAATTCAGCACACAAGCTAGTCAATAGGTCACTGAGCAAATGTCTAGATTCTGTATTCAGGTTGCTCACAACCATCTAATATTCATTACAACCCCAACCTACAAAACTGGAGGGAAAAGCACTATCCTTTTGTTAATTTAGAACTACCCAAAGGGAGAACACAATAAGTAATTAAAGTATGTTGGGATGGTCCATCAGTATTATGTGGATATGAGATTGTGCCTTAAGAAATGGGCTATTTCCTCACTTTTGCTGTATGGGTAGCTTCCTATAAGTAATAGCTTTAATCTACTATGAAGTGATTTGATAGTGTTCTTAATAAGCTCCATGTTAGTGATTAGCAGCAATGCATGGAGTGGAAAAAAAATATTCCTAGAAATCCCCAAAAGGAAAACACTTTGGACTGGTTGGAAACCCAATAAGCACAACAGACTTCCTCCTCTGAAAAAAATGCTAGTACCTACCAGCTCTGCTTATTAGTCTTAATTAATAATGCTACATATAAATTGTGGACATTCCAGGCTACTAGCTAATTTAAAACTGGAACAGTTTTGTTTCTATTTCATATTGTATTTGTTTTCCTCTGCTCCTGGTGACCTGTGTTCAACGGTAAAAAGCTCTACAAGGGCTGCTTCAAACACTGTGTACCTGTAAACATGTGTCCAGTAGTCTGTGTGCACATGGCAGCAGGAAGCCACAAACAACTTTAGCATATATATCTGCATTGCCATGTGCACTTATATTTTTATACACATTTATCTAAAAGGTAATGCAAAAACATCTGTAAATTACAACACAATCTATATTTTAGCCTTGGTCTGTGCTTATTTTTCCAGGCCCTTCCTGGCTCATTTTAGAACTCAAGCTCTTGTAGGCATGGAGTAAAAGATGGCTTGAAGACAGCAGTTGAATTATGCAAGTAACAGGATCTGACTTACACTAGAAGGCATGGCAATGTTATGCAGTCACAAACTGAACCTGTACAAAATTAATAAATTGCAACCCTACATGCATTTACTTTGGATAAAACATGCACAGGACTGGGCTGCAAATAGAAATGGGTTGTTTTTCTTTGCTGCAGCCCTGATGCCAGAATGAGTTTCACCAGCTAGTGGGCGGATCGTGCCATTCAGCGCAAATCAAAGGCAACAGACTAGATCAGTGATGGCAAACCTATGATACACGTGTCAAAGGTGACACATCGTAACGTTTTGGGTGACACGCCAACATTCACCAACACCCCACAACAACTATTCTCCCTGTTTGAGTTAACAAAGAAACTGAGTTTGTTTTACTCATATTTCATTTTTGTCATTATTTGACGTTTCTTTATATAATACATAGCACCACACATGATTGGACTGCATTTAAAAAAAATAAATGCATTTGTAAAGAATTGTTTTTCTTTTGTTCGGGGGGTGGGGATGACATGCCAGCAGAGTCAAGTTAGGCATTTTCCAAATTTTTGACACACTGAGCCCAAAAGGTTAGCCATCATTGGACTAGATGGTCTGTCAGGACAGAAGTGAAGGGAG